GTGTGTGATTTCTTGCAGAGCAGTTAATAGGTCACCGCAAAAAATGGTGTGGGGAGGGCGGCAGCATAGCCACATAAGGGGAGATTCTAGGATTTTTTAAGGTGAGGGCATAAGACAGGCCTTAATTCATTGAGAGGAACTGACTGCACCATTAGGAAATGATATGTTGAGAAATTGTGGGTGAGAAGGGAGGGAGCAGTCCAGGGACCAATCAGCTTCCAGCTGGGGTGAGTGTCACTGGGGCCCCACCCATGTATACGCCCAGACTTAATGCTGTGTGGTGTTGCTACTGACTAAGTCTAGAAACGAATGACAATTGCACCCCCAACACACAACTCAACGCATAAATAAAGTATGTCTTTAATGGGCAGCACTACCAGACAGACATCCTGTTCTGTGCCTGGAGCAGATTGTGAGAAAGCCCACAGACTGATTCCTCCTCGAGAAGGAGATGCCCGCTTGAAAGGATATGCGTTCAGAGCCCATATGATCCCAAAGTACCCTCAACACACTCCACTGTTTTTTACTTCTCCAGTCTAAAAACTTCAAACAGAAAGTTGTAAACGTATCTAGTAGAGCAGCATTTTCCTCAGAAGCCATCACCATTCCGGGCAGAATAGTCAGGTCCAAATGCTGACTTGGAATCATTACTGTATGGTGCATTAGCTCACCTGCTCCCCCTGCTGGTAGCAGTAATAATAATGACTGTGTGACAGAGTAATGAATGACCCCCGCAGGACCGGGGCTGGCGTTCCTGGCGTATCCACAGGCCGTCACACAGCTTCCCATGACGTCCCTCTGGGCCGTCCTCTTCTTCTCCATGCTGGTAATGCTGGGACTCGACAGCCAGGTATTGGGGGGGGGGGGCACCAGCCGCCCGCTGTCCTCTTCTGTCTGCGAGCTCATGGAAATAATCGTTTGCAGAAATACCAAGAGCATGAGCCTCTGCTGGTCATTAACACACGATGGAGTCTCTACAGGGCCCTTAAGTGCCAAAGGCCCTGTTGTGCACAGACCACAGGGCGTCTAGCAGCTTCTTCTCTGTCGACTAGTTCTGCACTGTCGAGGGCTTCATCACGGCCCTGGTGGATGAGTACCCCTTGGTGCTGAGGAAGTGGAAGAAGCTCTTCATCCTGATTGTGTGTCTGGTGTCCTACTTCATCGGCTTCTCGAACATCACGCAGGTGACACTCACTGACCTCTGTATGCTTCTTGTATGACTTTGTCGACTGTGACTGTGTTGATCACCTGCATAAAATGTTTCTAGCACTCAAACCATTCCTAGTGTAATGTGTATATTTGTGCCTAATAGATTAGTATCTAAATGTGTGAACCCCTGTTTCCACAGGGTGGTCTGTATGTTTTCAAGCTGTTTGACTACTACTCTGCCAGTGGGTTGTGTCTCCTCTTCCTTGTCTTCTTCGAGACCATCTCGATATCCTGGTTTTATGGTATACACCGCTAAACAGTGATTGACTGCTGATTCCATTCCAGAGATTATGCTGCTCTTTGACGCAGACTGACTGTGGAGATAAATGTTGTATCATTTTTTTTAGTAAATTCTGGGTCATCTTGACCATTGCAGATGCTCACACTCATCTCATGTAAAAACCATTTTCATCGGTGTCTTCTAGGGGCAGATAAGTTCTATGGTAACATTGAGGAGATGATTGGCTACAGGCCCTGTGGCTGGTGGAAACTCTGCTGGAAGTTCTTCTCTCCCCTTATCTGTCTGGTAAGACTCTGCCCTAAGCTTTCATTGGATCATGTCATTGTGAAAAGACTCAACCGTAAGCTTTCATTGGATCATGTCTGTGTGGTTAGACTCCAGTCTAAGTTCTCATTGGATCACGTCTGTCTTCTAAGACTCCGCCAGCACTTGGTAGATCTTCACCTTTGTCACACGCAGAAAACACCGTTTTAGGGCCTTCTCCAATGACTCTGTGAATCTGCAGAACCTCATCTGATTCTCGCCTTCTGTCTAATGCCAGGGGGTGTTCACGTTCAGCGCCATTGAGATGACCCCCCTTACCCTGGGAAAATACGTATACCCGACCTGGGGGCAGGGCATAGGCTGGCTCATGTCCCTCTCCTCCATGGTTTTGGTGCCAGGGTATATTGCCTACATGTTCTTCACCACCCAAGGCAGCCTCTGGCAGGCAAGTGCTTCCCCGTCTCTGGTGGGACCTCGTAACCCACAGTCACTCCTAGGTCTTTGAATGACTTCCAGGCCTGTTATCTGCTTTTCAGTGGAAATCAGCCCTCATTTTTCAGGCCAGTTTTATTCATTATGACGTGCTGTAGGCACCAGGAAATCCCAGGGCAGAAAGCAATAATCCTGTGTTGTTTGACAAACATAGAAACTGGGGAAAATATATAGTATAATATACACAGATATCCATTTAAAAACTATGAGGATTTCTTGTCCCCAGATAATATATCATACTCACCTCATTTACCTGTCTTAATGCATTATATAAGTAGTCCTCATTACAGGCTGTTCATTTTGCTGAATATTTACGTGAGTTTGCATCTCCTACAGCGCTGGTACAAGATGGTCAGTCCAGCAGAAGACATTAAGGCTCAGGAGAGTAATGAACTCGCCAGTGAAACTTCATTCACCAGCAGTTTCATGGATGGCACTGTGTGAATTTAACTGGAGTTCAGTTATGTCCAGACTGACTCTCGATGGTGGGGGGTGGGGGGGTATTCAAAACAAAACAAGGCCGTGCTGTACTATAAGGTGGTCCCATGGAAAGCCAGAAAGACCAGCTAGAAGTTCCTTCTCCTCCCTTTCCTCAGCGCCTCAGTTTCGAGTTAAGCTAGCAGGTATGATCAGACATGCCTACCAAGCAGAAAGACCAACGGCCCCGTCAAGGTTCTCAAGCTTTTTAAATGGTTTCCTGTGCAGTTTCCTGTCGGCCCACACCTGTGACCAGGGTTCGAGTCTGCCATGGCTCCGTGTGTGGAGTTTGCATGTTCTCCCCGTGTGTTTGTGCAGAGGCTGAGGCTAATTGGAGTCACCAAATTGCCCATAAGTGTGAATGGTGTGTGAGTGTGAGTGTGAGTGTGCCCTGTAATGGGTTGGCACCCCTTCCTGGGTTCTTCCTGCCTTGTGCCTGTAGCCTCCAGGATAAGCTCCAGACCCCCTGCAACCCTGAATAGGACAAGTGGGCACAGAAAAAGGATGGATGGATGGATGGATGGATGGATGGAGGAGAAGTTCCCATGGATTCCGGCGGCTGAGCTGAATACCTTCGCTGAGGCCAGCAGGATGTGCCCAAGCCTCCTGGATCGCTGCATCCCCCACCCCAAACCAGCCCATGTGACCAGCTCCCCTGCTTTTATTAAACAGATTGCACCTCTATCTTTTATGCTGCGTTACATGCTCTGAATTCCCGACCCTAATCTTAATCCCATTGTCTGATTCATTGCTGCCTTGTAGGACATGTGCTTGTCTTACACTCCAAAGAATATTACATCACTATTGTAAATGATCAAGGCCGGAATCTTAGATGTAAATATAATATGAAAATGATTATTGTAGGCAATGTAATAATTTGTGGCCCTTTACCGTTTGGATGTTTAGTCTTCAGTGAGGCTTGCGAAGCCGGAACTTATTGTCAGATGTAGATATGCCGGGTTCTGCTGTACATATTCTTGATTGGTTTAGATATGTTTTTATAACTCGCTTTCATTAGTGCATTAATTAACACGTCAGTTACACACAGAGGGATCGCATTTGAGAATACTAGCCTGATTTAACGTGATCTAAGCATGCGTTAAATATCACTGCGATTTCTGCTGCTTCGAAAGTCAATAAAAATAATTTAAAACATTTGGAACACATGAGCATTACAGTCTGCTATGGGGTGAACCCAGCACTGACAGGAATTCTTTGCTATTCTAGTTGATTTATATCATTGAACTTGCTGCTGAACTGAATGAACTTTATGCAACATTAAGAAATTGTCCAGCAAAGTGTTTTGAAACCGTGAAATGATTATGACTTTTTCTGGGACAAAGCAGCGTAAGTGAAGAGCTTGCTAGTTTGGAATGTGTCCACAAGGTGGAAGTGTCATCTGGGGTCTGCTTATATCGATTACTTAAATGTTGGATCGTTTAAAGATTTAAAAGTACATGAAGTTCAGTGTGTCAGTTAAGTAGCTAAAGTTCTCCTTCAGAAATACGGAGCCCCAGGGAGACCATCTCAGCAAATGAGCTGCATAAAACAGAGCTGCTTCTGGCCGCTCTTGTCAGACGGGCGACTAGCGCCGTGCTGCTCTGCTGAACATGTGTAATCTGACATATTACAGAACATTCCAGAGAGGCCAAGGAACTGGATGTGTTTCACCCCTCGCTTCTTGGCAAACTAGGGATAGAACAGCCAGCTTTGATACAGAACTGCAACCGACTACACTGGGGGGAGAATCTGGACAAAATACTTGAATGAAAAAAGTTTGGAAAAATATGGCTCTGAGGAGAGGAGCACATGATGCAGGACCTGGGTGCGGTTTCAGGCAGAAACAACAGTGCACCACTGCTGAAAGAAAAGCAGAAACTTTGCTACCTACACTGGACCCATGTCAAGATTGTGGTTCCAATTACAGGCACCAAAACAAAATCAAGCGCACTGATTTATATGTTTTGGAGAGAAGAGTGGAGAGATGGAACACATTTACACAGATCCTGGTCCCGGCTGGCCGACCTTCACTCGCGAGACGGCTGGAGGCCACAAACACGCCTCCACGCATGATGTCTGTATTTATAGTGCAAGGTCACCCTGAAAAAATGAACGGGACAGCCAGTGTCCACCCTGCTGGTCAGAATAGGTTATTACATCCAGAGTGATGTGATTGTGTCATTTTCAAAGGTCCAATCAGCGAAGTCTGCAGTGATTCCAGTGAACGGATAGTAAAACTATTCATCGATTGGTGAGTGGTATCATTTAGAGGCTTTTATTTTCAACCATGACTCAGCAAAGACTCTGCATTTACATGTTCACTCATGGCAGTCATTTATTTTGCAATCTATTAAATATAAACTATATGAAATACAAAATATAATACAATAGCAAATTTTATTTTCCATAATGCATATTTGATCTTGTCTTTCATATACAGAGGCAAATGTCCTAGTTTTACTGGACTGGTATAAATTAGCAGTTCTCAGTGAGCATGACCACATTTTAAAGTGAAATGCACATATCGAAATGAACAGCAAGTCCTGAAATTGTGTGTATGTACTAGAATGAATGGCACATACTGCAATTATGTACATCCTAAAATGAAGGGCATGTACTGAAATGATGTGCATTCCAGAAATGAAGGGCTTATACTGAAATGAAGGGCAGGTACTGAAATTAATGTGCATGTCCTGAAATGAAGGGCATGTACTGAAATGATGTCCATGTCCAAAAATGGTATTCTATGGATGGGATCCTGTTTGTATGTCACAGAGACCACCCTTGCTTAGCCAAAGATGGTGTGTTTACTTTTGTCCCCCAAAGAACCTCAAAATAACTGCCTGCTTCAAGGTCTGCAGTGGACAAAACGGAGTAGAAGCAGGAAGGACCCCAAGCCCCGTGTTATGGTGGGCCGAGGTGCACTTTCATTTGGGTTCATCTTCTGTACTTACTAAAAATATATATTGTATTCTATTAGTGCTTCTGCTAAGTACAGGTCATTCATCTCCAGGACTTTTCAAGATCATCTAAACATATCTAAAGCCATCTTTGTCTTCTGTTTGGAGACCTTTGCCCTTTGCAATCTGCTCCACAGCATTTTTTAAAACTGGAATTATGCCTTTAGAGAGTCACAATTTGAAGCGTATACCCTGAAAATCCCAGTGAATTCTGCTGTTTGTACTAACTGAAGCTTTTCTAAACTATTACAAAATTAGCTACAGCTGACACACAAATTTTAATGGACATGGAAAAAGAAAATATTGAATGAACGATTGAGTACTGATTTGTATTTGATAATCAGCATGAAACATATTCTCAATTCAATGCTAGTTATTGAATTATGAGTATTGCAGAGTAATAAAAGAGAACAATAGGCAAGTAACGTTTTATTGGTGTCATTCTAGGAAAGTATGATGATAGATATTCTGTAACCAGAATGTTCAAATATCACTGCATCAGATACACAACCAAATGGCTAGTAAAAACTGTGCACCTTGCATCTTCCATAGGATTAACAGATTACCACCTTCTGGCTTAGCAATAGCTAAACTCATGATGAAGAGGGAATGAGGCCCACGACAGAGGCGGTGCTTATAGGGAGTGAGGCCAAGACCATCTGCACATTCACCAGCATATTCTTTCCACTGTTTCTGAAAGACAAGCTTTTTACAAGCAATCCCTGGATTATTGCCCCTGGATTATTGGATTTCAGATAGCTGTTAAATTACAATCCATACTCAGTTAATGGGGAAATGTTTAAAAAAGTATAGCAGACTGAAAAATCTGCTGGAACATCATTTTAATAATTCTGCTTTTAAAATGTATAGTCCTGTATCGCTGTTGGACACTTATTGCAATAAAACATATGTACACTGTCTAAAACAATAACTACTACTCACGTAAGAGCCAGAGCCCAGTGTAATGGATTTGAAGTGATTAAATATTCTTCTTGGACCTGGAGATTTGGCACATATCTTTGTCTACAAAATCCAGCAAAAAAATAAATAAAAAATAGCTCAAATATATATCTCAAGGTAACCCCAAGACGTGTTCAGACCTGCAGCTGAATAAACGGTGTTTTCATCGCTTTCGGAAGCGTAAACAAAGATGCATCAGCGGTGAAGCAGGTGGACAGGCTGGGAGTGTAATCATGAGCCTGGAAAACAAGGTGCAAAGCGTGGTACACAGCCAGCAAAATGCGCCCAAATGCCGCGCTTAAACACAGGCCATTCAGGTCACATGGCTTGGCGTTTGTCCCGTGCCGCACAAAACGGCCTCAGTCCAACACGAGCTTATGGTTTTTCCAGAAGTATGATACTCCTCTACTTTTATCGGAATTAAAAGATTAGGCATATTCTCTTATTTACTATTTTTATGCACTTATAAAATATGGTGGGCAATCTGTTTTCTGTGACGTAGACTAACCAAGCTATCACACTTAGACACAGGAGATATCTTCAGTAAATAGCAGTACATTAGAAACCTCTGCGGAGATACACAGATAATCCCCATTCTGTAAAACTGTGCTGCTACTTGGAAACAAACAAACACAGACAAGTAATTCCTCTGAATCTTTAACTTGCAAATTCTCCATAAGTGTGTGTTTTTTTGCAATTGGCACACTGAAGTATTTTCCATCATTTCAAAGCTTGTACGTGAACAATTTCAATGTAGACAGACTTCACTCACTTTTAAATGAGAATCTAACATATCATATGATGCTGATGACATGTGTTTACATAATTTTGAGATGCTTCCGGTTGGGCGGTGAGTTCATATCAACGCTTCCAGTTTCCAGAGACTCTTCCAAAGTTTGTGAAATGAGCACAAATCAAAGAGAGCAACTGTTGCTTTTTTTATAAACAGTTCAGTGCTGGTTGGTTCTCGCTCTATAGTGCTTGTAACCATGGCACTAACACAAATGGAGGCCATTGATTTACAGGGTTGTGGATCTGACCTTATTTTGGTGCTTTGCTGAGGTGCTTAGAGGTGTGATGGTACCAAACCATGTGCATTTCCAGCTATTCCCAGAGGAGGAGAATGGAGGGTTTCCAGTTATTCAAGAAACCCTCAGGGCATCTGTCCAAAAAAAAACCAACCCACATTCTCACATCGATCTCTGAAAAAAGTTAACAAAAAATGCCAAATAAGTCATTTAATTTTTTTTGAGCAAACAGGCAAAATAGTATAGAATTTTATTAAAACTATTCTTTGTTTTTCAAAACGCATGATTTACAGACACGCGTGATTTCCCGTGCTTTCCCATGTTTCCGACGGCGCCCTCAGTCCACCCTGTGTGTTTACATATTGGCTGTACGTGACACACAGGTTATTCACATGAGGCTACTGTAACCCTCTGAGTATCTCCGCTGGTTCAGCTGGGGCTCGGGGGGGCAGTACTGGTGGGGGTGGTTGTAGGGAGGAGGCGGCGGGGGCAGAGGAGGCTGCGAGGCATTTTTGGAGGGTGTGGTCCTGTTTCCCACCTCTGGTGAGCGTGCTGGCGTGGAGTAAGCGGAGCAGACAAGCAGCGGTGAAGGTGTCCGGCTGAGGAAGGCCTCCGGGTGACCCCGCCCAGCCTGGTCCAGGACGATCACCTTGACGATCTGCTGGCACTGGATGAGCGTCTCCGGGGGCAGGTTGTTGACGGTGGACCTGTGGACCGGGGTCGTTGCCCCTGACTGGAGCTGTGGGCAGCAGAGCTCCCCCTGGTGGTTATGAAGGGCGGCCGGGTAAGATCCACTCTCTGGGCTCCTGGACATATTGAACTGGCACGTTTGAAGCCTGTTGTGAATTGACACCTATTTTAGAAACAGCCAGAGACAGCATTAAATGTTATAAGACCTTCCTCCTCTATGGAAACAGCCCTCTGGTTTAAATGACAGAACCGACATGCAAGTCTGCGGCAGTGGGGATGGGATTCAGACATGAGCAGCGTGTCACAGAAGAAAACACAGGGGAATTGCAGAGATCAGGATGCATGCTGTCGCCACGGGGCCCGTAGCTGGCTCCCTGGATCAGTTCGGCCCCCCCTAGTGGGCGGCTGGGGTGGTGTTCAGCTGGGGTTTCAGAGCCCATTAAATGATCTTGGACTCCGCCTCCACTGACATCAAGCCATATGGACGCAGAGTGGAACACGTTCCCTCTGGGTGCATGTCGGCTGTTCTCAGGCAGACGTCGGAGGCCCTTCATCAGTAAACACTTTTATTAATAAACCCTGGGGGGTTTCTGGCTGCTCCGTTTACAGCCTGCAGGTTATAGGAGAGCAGACAGAGATGCAATATGAAAGGTTTGCCTCTGTTCCCTCTCCCAGACGACTCTGGATCTAGAAGAGAAACGTGCAAGGCTGATAACTAACGCGTATTCGGTGTTCCAGAAGAACGAGCATTCAGCAAAAATATGCAAACGTGGCTTGTTTTGCTTTAAAAGAAAAGCTCGGAAACATAAAACTAAACAGCATGATGTGATACGGAAAGTAAAACGAAGCCTGTAAAAGTGCCAGTGGATTTTAAAAGGAAACATTAGTGATGCGAGGGATAATGTCAGCCGCAGCTGGGCTCACACGCACAGAACAAAGGCCCTCTCTTAATTCTCTCGTCTCCATGCTGCCAGCCACAAACCTCCCACCGTGTTTGGTACGTTCTAATGTAGCCGAGAGCTTGGAGGGATGATCCAAAGGGGTTCGACCTGATCCATTAGGTATGGCTACGGAGGTGGGTCAAGCAGCCACATTACAAACATAAAGCCAGGCTCGTCATAGTGGCAGAACAAGCAAAGACCCACAGCAGCTTGGATTAGTGTGCTTTTTAATCCGTGGTTTAACTTATTTTTCATTGGTTCAGCTGGGTTAAACCCCGTCCACTGTTCTTTAAAGTTATTGACAAACAGGACCGTAAACGCTGCCCACTGTTCTTTAAAGCTATTGACTAACAGGACCGTAAACCCCGCCCACTGTTCTTTAAAGCTATTGACTAACAGGACCGTAAACCCCGCCCACTGTTCTTTAAAGCTATTGACTAAAAGGACAGTAAACCCCGCCCACTGTTCTTTAAAGCTACAGTATTGTCTAAGAGCCCCACTTCTTATAGGTCTAGTTTCCATGCTTTCAGTTTTTGTGAGTGCAGCCGTTTATCTGCTTTTCCCATCCACTAAACTCTAACTAGTTTAGCTTCCCAAATGCACTAGACCTCCCACACAGTCTGCACTGGCAAATTCTGTCTGTCTCAAAGAAAACAGTTACTTTTGGGAAAGTCTAAAACCGAGCCAGTCTGGATCGAATGCAAGTCAAGCAGCAATATATCACTGCAGAAGATTTAAGCAATTTAAAGCAGAGCCACTCCAAAAGAAATAGTGAAAGGAAAGTGTTTTGGGGCGGAGGGTGGTCATTAGCCTGCTCCCAGAAGCCCCCAGCCCACCGCAGTGCAGCCCCTCTGAGACACAGCCTGGATCCTCTAGGCTAACAGACAGCGATGTAATAGTGGACTGGTACCCAGAGACCTACATCATCATCGGTCCTGAGGGTGACAGCGATGATCCATCAGTCACCGAAAATGAAAGCTTTTCTAATTTGGGATGGGTGGGGAGTGCAGCTCACAGGAAATCATCTCTTTGTGTCAGACTCTGAGAAGAAGCTTCCTCACGCAGGAAGGCAGGGCCTTTGGGGAACTGCGCGCTCCTAAAGGGCTTGGACCCTTTTCGAAAGCGGCTAGGATCTCAACTCGGACTGGATACACGACCCAGTGTGCATCTAAGAGAAGCTCTGAGGTCACTAAGCCATCTGTATGAGAAGCTAAGCAGTGCAGCATCTAGGGGCCTTGGCACCTCCATGAGATAACGCTGGGTGCAGCGCCCCCCCACTGGAAGGAGGAATACCCTAGCAGCATGAACACAGCTCATTCAGCATCAGTATTCCATCAGTACTGGGAGGGGAGTAGGTGTGTTTGCGTGTCTCAGTGTGTTTCAATATGCGCCTGAGATCAGAAGGTTGCCAGTTTGAATCCCGTCCATTGCTGCTGGGCCCTTGGGCAAGGCCCTTAACCCCCTGAAAAATGCCCCAGGGGTTCCAGATGAACAGCTGACCCTGTGCTCAGACCCCAAGGCAAACCTGTGTAAGTGTGTCTATGTCTCAGCGGAGAGTAGGACAGCATGTGGAAACCAAAGAATTCCAACGCACGTCTGCAAATGGCAGATAAAAAGAGGGATGTGGAGCGTCTGCTTCCCCAGGACATACAAACACGACTGGTCCACTGCTGTCGCTTCCGGCAGCACTGCGCTAACAGACAGCGAGCTACAGGAGGGCCAGAGAGCAACACCTGCCCGTCAAAACGCCTGGGGCAGCATCAGCCGTTACTGCACCTTAAACGTCACACCACATTTACCACAACGGAGGGAGAGACACGATGAATTAATGTAATTAAAGTACCATCATGCCAGACGGAGCCTGGGAAACTGCGAATTCCAGTGAAAGCATATTACAGTGTGAACATTACGTTCATCTCCCGGTCATATCTGCTTGTTACGTGTATATTACTCTGTTTACCAGACAATAATAACCACAGTTATCTGTGAGCAGCTACGTGCAGGGCTCTGTTCAAGGTTGTTTTATCTGCTCAGCCTGGGATCCGACCCGGTCCAATCAGCCTTTTCCATTTCAGAGTTTCTCCCTTAAACTTTCAACTCATAAACTTCTCGCTTTTTTCTTGCTACTTTGCAAATAAAAAAAAGGGATTTCTTTCTACCTCCATGGAGAGCGGCTTCTATCGGACGCTCTTTGGACTGTAGGCGACAGCAGTCGTCTGCATATTTAAGCAGAGACCCACCACGCTGGCAAAAAAAGAACAACATTGCTCAATATTTCATGAAGTGTGCATTCCTCAGAAGAGGGAGGCACTTTTGGAACGACGTGAGACAAACGATGAAGGTGCAGTCGGAAGGACACGCAGCAGAGCAGACACGCAGCAGAGCAGACATGCATGCAGAGGCTGCGCAGAGTCGAATGTCCTCTCCAGCGGGTCTGAGCCCGAAGACTTACCTCTGCGCTTCTGGGCCACAGTTAGGACTCACCTCTGAGCTGCTCCCATTTCTCCCTTCAAGATCCCGCTTGCCTGAAAAAACACGCCGGCAGGAAAGGCCGTGAGCACCAGTGAAGGGTAGGGATGGCTGCGGAGTTCACAAAGCTCACCCAGGGAAATGGAGCAGAGGGTGACCCACAGGGTTAGACCTCACTCCGCACGCAGAAAACTGCTGGTTCAAATTCCGTCCTCAGCAGAACCTCTTGAGCAAGGCCCTTCAACACCCCCCCCCCCAAAAGAAATGCACCAGGGTTGCCTAATAAATGGGCGACCATGTGCTCACACCCCAAGCTTCAAACCTCTATATGTGCGTCCAAAAAAGGAGAACAAGGTAGGATTTATCACAATTAAAACTTGTGCAAATGGCAAATAAAATTTCATTTCAGGAAACATTCCTGTAGGTGGCGCCCTTGTGGATGGGGTGTAGTGACCGTAGTTTGCTGTGGTAGCAACCCTCAGAACCTCTGAATGGGCCAGTGTGCTCATCATCATTTCAGTGTGGGGATGAGTTGCCCTCTTTAAAACACCATGAAAGCCCTATTGCAGACATCAGCTTCATGGAATTACACTTTCCCTGAAAAACACGCATTTCCAAGAAGAAAGCAGAGATTGTTCTTCAGTTTCAGACGGTCGTCTGCTCTGCTACAGGAGGCCGTACCTAGAGGTGAAGCCTGCTGGGCTTGGATCTCCAGCTGTGTTCCATTTTTAGTGGAATGATTCCTGGCTTCATGCTGTCTCTCTGGCTCCCCTGCAGGACACAAAGGGAAGAGCATCACTGATGGTGCAGGTAGGCGGAGGAGGCCTTCAGCAGTGATAAGATCCTGTGAGAAGCTGCCGGTGCTTTGGCCATACAGCCCCTGCCCTGCATCCCGCCATGCTGAGTCAGGTAGAATGATCTTTCACGCACTTCAAAGTGATGGATGAGGCTGAGATTTTCTGTCCAAACAAAAACTCACTGTTATCCCTTTGCTTGGCAAGAAAATCCTTTAATACAGATGCGTTGACAACTGGGAAGAAAGAAAAACTGAAAATAACTGTTTTTCTCCGTTTTTTAGCTTCTCCATATGGTCCGCGGTCCATGGCTTAGCAAACCTGCAAAAGGCTGGCATGAATCTCGCTCTCTCTCCACGAGGAGGATATGCGGACACTGGGGCAGTAGGACAGGACACTGGAGGCTGGGCAGCCCTACAGCTCCTAAGTGCTTCCTGTGTTCCGGATCGCGGGCCACAGTGGACTGGCTAATAATTTCTATGGATTCTGCCAAAAGTGTCACTATGAGCCGCCCCGTGGATGCGTGACCCTGCCCGTGTCCTGCTCCTCTCCTTCAAAGGTTTGGCTTGCAGAAGCTCGGCTCAATCCCTTAGGCGGGATAATGACAAGAGAACAAGCTGGTGCTGACCAGCCCCGTAAGGAACCCCAAAGCAGCGGTAAATAATTACTCCTGAGTTGCTGCTCTTTCACGCCCTGACATGGGCTGTTCAGACTGACCGACGCACTGGATGGTGACAGCAGCTTCTCACACAGCGTAACTCGATAATTGGTGTTTACGGCTTGTGTTTATTTCTTTGCCAATATGTTTCTTGACTGGATATCACAACTGAGACGAGGTGCGAACCCGGCAGCCCAGCCGCACCGCTCACACTCACACTCAGTCTGGATCTGCTCCATCTCATGCACCTCTGCGATGGACTCCTTCAGGTCCTCCACGAACTTCTGCAGCTCCTCCGCACTCTGCCCACAGAAGTTGAGCACCTGCTTCTTCTCTGACCCGTGGCAAGGAGACACGATAGTGATGCCATGGAGGTGGTCTGCAAGAGAGGCAGCGGGAGAGTGAGGGAGAAGGTCCAGAAGGGCCTCCAAGGTCTGCTCAAGGAAACGGAAGCTCACAAGATCAAGTAGAAACGCTAAATGGAAAAGCGAAACTGCTCTCTGCCTTTCTCCCTTACGTCTGAGGGACGTGATACGCGGTATGTTAAGAATAAGCACTATTTCTGCTGGACGGCCACACTGGAAGTTACAGATGTGGGTGTCTGTAAGACTGTGTGTTTAAATGGGAGCAGACTGGCACAGGAGACGCACAATTATGGAAGCAGCCCAGAATTTCAATGAAAAGTTCAGATAAAAATGGATCTATCTCTCCAAATCAATGTTCAAACACAGGAGAATATTTGTACAAAACACAGCATATGCTAAATACTTGACTAAACCCTAGAAATTCCATCAAATATATTATACAATAATTATGATAAATAATACATGTTACCATCATTATTATGTTCATGAGTGTGCCAGTCTGAAAAAAATGGGATTTTAACAACCTATACAGAAAACATATTTTGTATACAACAATTCTGGAACATTATGTTACATCATATTACAGGATAATAAGGACATAATTTTAAAATGTCATGCATAGCAGCCGATTCTGTCCTCCTTCTGAGATCCTTCAAAGGAGGAACTTGTTTATTGAAAGATAGTAGGAACATGCAGGGTTTGCTGTCAGGCAGGAGGAACATGCAGGTTTTGTTGTCAGGCAGGAGGAACATGCAAGGCTTGCTGTCAGAGAGGAGGAACATGCAGGGTTCGCTGTTAGGCAGGAGGAACATGCAGGGTTTGCTGTCAGGAAGGAGGAACATGCAGGGTTTGCTGTCAGGAAGGAGGAACATGCAGGGTTTGCTGTCAGGAAGGAGGAACATGCAAGGCTTGCTGTCAGACAGAAGGAACATTCAGGGTTTGCTGTCAGACAGGAGGAACATGCAATGTTTGCTGTCAGACAGGAGGAACATGCAAGGTGTACAGTTTCTGATCTACATCATCATCAGAGACACGTGCAGTTCTGACTTACACTCATTCTCAAACAGGTGGTACTGCATCCCCAAGAGGCCCAGGGCCCTACAAAAAGTGTAGGTGGCAGAGCTCCGCTTCTTTGGACTGAGCTTCAGGATCTGAGCAGAGGGAGCGATAACACGCAAAGGGTAAGCAAAAGCTTTGTGTACACAGAAGGCTGTGGGGCACAGTCTGAGTGAGTCATGTAACTGTGACTGCACAAGATCTCTCATGGGCCTGCTTGTGTGAACGCGATACTGCGAGATACAGCAGTAAAACCAAAAGGGACACCTTCAGATCCAAAAGCTCCAAAACAGGAAAACAATTATCAGCAGCTGTGCCATGGAAATCAGAGTGGGAAGCTGTACCACAATGAGGTCATTGAAGAGGAAAACCTCCCTCTGGTGAGCAGCTTGTTTCTGCGCCTTGTTGATGTCCGTCACCTCGAAAAGCCGACTGCAGCACACCAGCCTCCGATGAGGCACTGACAGCACCTTGGACAGCAGAGACAGTAGAGATAGAGTCCTTCAACCAGACCACAGCAGAAATGAACCACTTTGGTTTCCTCTGTGAGTGCTTCACCCACACCACTTCCCTCTGAGTCTCGATTACATCTGAAACCAATAAACTGATCTTCTGTGAGCAGCACAGAGTTTTCAGTGGTTAAAATGAACTTATTGGCAGCACAGGGCAACTCCGTGACATTAACAAACAATTTCTCATCCATCTCTGCTCTCCGTCCGGCAGATTAGGGGGGAAGTCGTTGAGTTGCTGACCTGTGTCATTCAAACCAACTTCATAAAGTTCATAAATATTCTCAGAGATTCAGATTCCACCATTTACAAGACAGCAAAGGTCAGCAGCCACATCATAACCATCAGACATTGGAGTCTGCTTGACTCAGAATCTGATACTGAAACAGTGTTTCAAACAGTCCTGTTGAGAGTCTGCATAAACATTTATTGTGCACATCAAAGGATTGCAGCCATAAGCCATAATAAAAAGTGATCTAAAATCGCATTTGTTTATTGCGGCCTTCAGTGCCCGAGTGCGACAATAGGATCAATGCAACACAGGACCTCTTACTGGGAAAGACATGAGCTCTGTTGCTCAACTGCGCAGGAAGGATCATAGAGCAGCTGCAGTCAGACCAGCATGTGGGTGGGAGGCCAGCCAACCAGGTTGCTGGGAACGATCAACACTGATTGGATAAACGGCTTCGTCACCTGACTTTGCCCTGCTGCAGGAGTCCCTGCCCCTGGCATTGAAACACAGTTTTTTTGGATTTAATTTTGGATTCCAGAAAATGAACTAGGCACTGAACTAGGGCACAACTCAAAAACAGAACAAATGCAGGCAGCTGCGAGTGGCCTGATCATGAGGAGCTTCCTGCCGTCACTGACGAGCGTCTCCGACACAAGGCCCTCCCGCATTTATTCACCAGCCTGCTTTGTTTCCCTGTCACCGCGTGACTTTCAAATTAGCCACAAAGTGTGATGTCACTGCAGTCTGAGATAAAAGACACTGCTTTGTTGATGATTTCCATAATCATGTAGCAAGTGCCTGACAATAGACAATGTTTTTCACAGCTGAGTAAGAACCCTAACACAACTGGAGTACGAGACATAGACAAGAAAACATGGGCATCATTCTGCCCTGCAGCCGGGCTCCGTTCCGCCCCCCAGAGACTGAGCCTGTTATTACAGCAAATGCACATCAGAAACGCCTCAGACACAGAGCTCTTCTGTCCTCGCCCTGGCAGCTGACACGTACATGTTATTTATTGCCTTTTAGGATTCACTAACACTACTAACAGCTCAGCCCTTTCACCCGGACATGTCAGGCAATGCTGCGTAAAATGACTGAGTCAGCTATCAGCCTCAGAACGCTAAGGTAATGTTCCTGCCACCACAGAGATCGAGAAATGGTGACGGCTCTCCATTTGCCAGAGAGACGGAGTCTGCGAAAAGCCCTGAGTGAGCACACAGCTTACGGGTTTGATGGGAAAATCAGCAACAAATGTAGCACTTAAACTACATTTCCATAGTGCCCATTGAGTACTGTATTTATTTATATCCTCTTTTACAGGAGTTAAATCACATGTTGGACTAGGTATATAAATGTCTGCGATATAAATATCACCGTCAATCACGAGCAAGCAGGAAAGGCACACTCACCGTCTTCATGCCCAGGATGGACTGCTCCACCTTGGTGACGTAGGTCACATGGTCCTCGTTGGAGCGCAGCTCTCTCTGCTGAATGCGCTCGTAGATGCCGGCCACCATGTCACGGGGGATGTCCACGCCGTCATCCACACCTGCCGGGCCAAACACACCAACCCGCGTTTGAGGAACCGCTCAGGAGCAAGGGGACTCCACTGAGCCGCTACGGGAGCAGGGTTCCGCTGGGCCGCTACGGGAGCAGGGTTCCGCTGAGCCGCTACGGGAGCAGAGCTCTGCTACAGCTCAGGTGCTCAGTGAAGTCCGGCTCTGACAGCTGCAGGAATAACCTACCAGTACAAAGCACTCGCAGAGGCATGGTTTTATTGGTGTGTGCCGGTTCAAAGAACCCATCCACCGTCCCTTTTATGTTCTAAGGGGAATTTGAATAACAGCCCCATCAGCATGATGCTGCGGAACGTTGCTTAAAGGTCACATAACCTGTCTAATAGTGATTAATCACAGGCAAGTGGGATAGAGTAGTTTAATGAGTATGAGAGAGGATTATATTTTTCCAAATTTCACATAAAATCCATTTCAAAGTATTTTATTTTAGTTCTTCTTTTCGCACTTTTATTTTAAAGTATTCAGACCCATTTGGATCCATCCATCCATCCATCCATCTATCCATCGATTATCTGCCGCTTATCTGGAGTCGGGTCACGGGAAGCGGTCAGAGCAGGAATGCCCAGACCTCCCTCTCACCAGCCACTTCCTCCAGCTCCTACTGGAGGATTCCAAGGTGTTCCCAGGCCAGCCCAGACATATAATCTCCCCAGTCTATCCTGGGTCTGCCCCGGGGCCTCCTCCCAGTTGGACCTGCCCGAAACTTCTCCCTAGGGAGCCGTCCAGGGGGCGTCCTAGATAGATGCCCGACCACCTCAACTGGCTCCTTTTGATGCAGAGCAGCGGCTCTACTTTGAGCCCCTCCTGAATGTCTGAGCTCCTCCCCCCGTCTCTAAGGCTGAGCACAGACGCCCTGCGGAGGAAGCTCATTTTTCTCGCCTGTATCCCCAGTCTCATTCTTTCAGTCACTACCCAAATCTCATAACCATAGTTGAAGGCAGAGACGTAGATCAAACAGCAAATCGATGCCTTTCCCTTCCGGCTCACCTCCCTCTTCACCATGACAGAACGGAACACCGTCCACATTACTGCCAGTACTGCACTGATCCTCCAGTCGATCTCCCGCTCCCTTCTTCCCTCACTCGTGAACGAGACCCCGAGATACTTAAACTGCTCTGCATGACACAGCAACTCATCCCCCCAGGAGAGGGTGATCCACTCTTTTCCGGTCGAGAGCCATGACCTCAGACGTGGAGGTGCTGAACCTCATCCTGCCCACAAACCGCCGCAGGGCATGCTGCAGGTCACAGCCCGACGATGCCAACAGGACCACATCATCTGCAAAAAGTGCCTATAAATTCTGTCTATAAAAGCTGTGAACAGAATAGGTAACAAAGGGAAGAACTATCAAAGTCCAACACACACCAGGGACGAGTCTGACTTACTGCTGACAATGGGAACCAAACTCTCACTCGGGACATACAGGGACCTCACAGCCTGTAAGAGCACACCCCAAACCCCATACTCCCGAAGCACCCCCACAGGACCCCAGAGGGACACAGTCGTACTCCTTTTCCAAGTTCAGCACAGTGAGGAACAGCTGAGGAGCAGGATTATGGGTAATGGGCACTGGCCAGTGCCCCCTCCTCCCTGAACGGGAAGCACGCTGACCACAGGTGGGTGCCCCCCCCCGGCGCTTGGACTTCACATTACCTGCTGTCAGCATTTTGCCTGAATTGAATCACTTTGTTAAGGCGAAGAACAATTTTAAAGGGGGGGGGGGGGTTCTGAATTTGTGCTCCGCAAACTGGAGTATTTCTCCATGAGCCATGATGTATTTGAATTGATTCATACATATGTGGATAGGAGAGGCCCAATCAGACTGCTGGTAGCCAAATCTTCAGAAACTCAGCATTATTGGTCTATTTGAAACCCCATTTTATATTGCTTCGGTCTTTTCTGTTCAAAGCTCAGAGGTAGACACATAACCCCTGATAACTGTCGGCACTTGCTTCCCTTAATTGAATTTCGCCTATTTAATTAAGAGAGTAGGTGCTGCTCTTGCAGACACTGATGTGGGAGGTCGTGGGAGGCAAAGCAGGAAGAGGGAGGCAGAGGAAGCGTTAGAGATAGAAATCAAAGCAGGAGCGAGGTCCACGCAAGCAAATTCAGGAGGTGTAACCTACAGTCTGGCGGCACTTCTGATAAATATGTACAAACTTATCGGAAAATGCTAGAAAATCCACAACACAATGGAAAAATCCACTGTGACAGAAACACATACAGATATCGAAAATGCATCAATACACGATAATATTGCAAGTGTGAAAACGCAGCCATTCTGAAAGCTGAGAGTTTCAGCGACAATCGCTGTTTGTTATAGAACTTGTGAGATGACCAAAACGAAACTGTAAGCCTGTGAGCCTTTGTGGTCTCTGTGTGAGAGATACACACGTCCTGCTAGGCGTTCACTTCTAATACAGCCTCGCTATTATTGCCAGGTCACTGGATGAGGCTGTCAGATTCATACACACAGGAAAAGAAATATATTCCGATTTGTCTCATTTTAAGATACACATTTATCTTTAGAATGTTTGCCAGTTTATTGCAGTGAATTTCGCAGCATCTGTTGGAAAGGTCATCTGTCTCTGCTCTCTGGCGCATTCCCCCATAGCCCGCCCCCCCCCTCCCACCTACCTCGGAGGTTGCGTATGAAGTCCTCCAGCAGCATCTTGCGGTCGGCTTTGACGCTGGGGCTGTACATGTCAGTGTTGAGGAGGATGATGGCAAAGGCCAGGATGAAGATGGTGTCCGGATTGTGGAATTTCTGCACCACATCTGAGTTGCACATGCAGTAGCGCTGGCTGTGAATGGGAGAGGTGGATTCACATTTTCATCACTATTATAGCTAATTAACCTCCATTCACTCCATTGTGTTTGTGTCCGTGTTGCTGCTCCAGTGTCAGCTCTCCCCAGCCAACCGGAGCCCCGCACTGCTGCATACAGATGGAAACCCAGGCCTGGTGCCATGCTCAGAAGTGAGGTCCCTCATGGGACGTGAACCTGAAGCCTTCTGGGTCCCACACCCAGATCTTTAATCTATTAACTTCATGCTTGGCACTGGACCGCAAACAATTCTGGTGTGTTCGTACATACTGGCAATAAAGTGAGTTCTGGTTCTGACTATGCTACAGCTTCTCTGTGTGTTACATTAAAGTGCAGTGCACTCTCTGACCCATGGGTCTCTTAACTGCATTACTTTGGGGAGGTAATTGAACTCTCCCTGCCTCTTAAAGCTGTAGAAGAAAAAGGAATCACAGTCCATCAGCTCTGCCGAAGACTGGCATTTAGCTAACTGATAATTAGATAAGTAGGACTCATTGGAAAGACCTGCCAACCAGCTGTGGCGGGAGCTGCAACATATGGTACTGATGCTGGTTTCTGATTGGATACTGCATCTAGCTCTCTCTAATTTGTGCTCTTCTACAGAGTTATACCTAACATGCTCCTATGCAATGCTTTTGGGAGTTTTACTTAGACAAAAATGTTCTGAGGGCAGAAGGAAAAATTACTGGTTCAGAGAGATAACCAATTAGATTGTAGAGGAGGTGGGTCCAAGCAACTAGAGGAAGAGGAACCAAGACATCTGGTTTATTATTCTCTTCCTGGACCCCCACTGTGTTTGCAAAGTGTCCCACCTGAAGGCCTCGACGAGCCGCTCCACCTTCTGGGCCTCGCCCTGCACCCGGATGTGTGCCTGGAACTTCCTCAAGGCCTCGTCCAGCTCCATCCCCGAGAAATCCATCTCATCCACCACGCAGCTGAAAGAGCCACGCAGAGGGTGGGGACGAAGGACATGTCAGGTGGGGGTTGCATTTAAAGTGCATAACATCCCTATGTGTCCCCAGATCAGCTTGGGCTTTACTGCACGTCGGCTCATTTGAATGATTTACAGGAACAACCTGGATTAAGTACCTGGGCTGGGTTGAGAACCAGCAACCTTCAGGTTAAAGGTATATTCGCATTAGGCTGTTTTTGCTTAGTCCATCTGCCTGCAATTTAAGGCATCATCTGTGGCTTTTAGATGTAATTAAGTGCATCTTATGATCCTGCGTTCCAGTTAAGTCTTTTAAAAACCCAAATGGCATCCAAATGCCCAGAACTTTAAACTCCATTAGCAGTGCTCCAGACTCCCAGAGCGGATCTGAACACCAGCCTGCGTTCTCAGGTTTTACAAGCCATGCACACATTTTCCGATTTCAGGATCGGTTTGGAACAGTTCCTGTAAGCTGGAGTCCAGAACGTGAATCTGCAGACAGCACCCACACATTCCAGTGAATCCATCTGCGTAATAATAGTGTGAATGCATGGTGGTCGGGGCAGTGATTATACCCTGAATACTCTACAAGCCCCACGGGAGCAGTGCAGTGCATCAGCCACACTTTCTAATATAAACTAGATATCGTCCAAACGAGACAGCAGACAGTTGCTGAACCCTAATCCTCACGGAAAATGTGAGGGGGGGAGTGGCAAATATAGGCCACTCCCCCCCATCATAGGCATTCCGAACAGGATGCTAACACTCGTCCTGAGTGCAAAGAAGCAGACCCCAAGTGTCATGAGGCTGATATGCTGCAGTATGCAGTGTGCAGTGGCCTTTTACAGATTTCCTTATTAGCTACTGTCACTGAACCAGCTGCATGTCACAGATCAGCAAGCTTTTTATGGCTCATCGATCTGTATGGTGCCAGAGCCAGGCATAGCAGCCAGCACTGTCCCTGCTGGCACACGGAGGACTGAGCTGTGATTAAGGGAAGAGGGCAGGCCTCACCCGCAGGCCTGACAGGTCAGGGGAGCAGTCAGCCGTTCCCTGAAAGACTGCAATCAATGGGGTCTAGTTGAAGATCAGGCGTCACACAGTCAGACGAACAGGAGCAGGACCCACAGGCAGTGAGTGGACACCTCAGTCAGATGAACAGGAGATGGAGCAGGACCCGCAGGCAGTGAGTGGACACCTCAGTCAGACGAACAGGAGACGGAGCAGGACCCGCAGGAAGTGAGTGGACACCTCAGTCAGACGAACAGGAGACGGAGCAGGACCCGCAGGCAGTGAGTAAACACCACAGTCAGACGAACAGGAGATGGAGCAGGACCCGCAGGCAGTGAGTGGATACCTCAGTCAGACGAACAGGAGATGAAGCAGATTGCTGAATGTACAGCAGGACTGGCAGATTCTGAATGATTTCAAAGTCATTTCTGCGGAGACACTACCCCCCGTGAACTCAGGGGACCCGCCAATCAGCAGTGGGGTTTAGGGGTCAGGAGAGGGGGTGGGGGCAGGTGACAGCAGCCTGTCGGTGCTAATGAAATACATGAGTGATAATTCACTGTGCTGGTAGGAGGGCCAGAGGCCTCAGACGGCGCTTCACAGGTGCAGCCAGCCTGCCTGTCCAGCTTCTCTGCTACCTGGAGAAATCTGACCTGCTAAATCGAATCGCTGCTCCTCTTCTACCTAACCCGCTGTGTTTCAGATTTCTGGTCACAAGGTTTTCTCCTTCATCTTTTTCAACAAACTTTAGCACAGTCCGTGATTGTCTTTGTCTTCATCGTCATCATCGTCGTCGTCATCATTTTCATGTCGTCAGCTTTCTGTCTTTGTAGGGAATACGGCGCGTATGTATAAATATTTCCAGGGTTAGGAGCGAGCTTGCCTGTTGCCATGCCAACGATTCTACTGCACCGAGCCAGCAGACGCCTCAGGTAACGACACCCAGCTGACACTGTCTGGGCTAATTACTCTGTCAGGGTGAATGGGGCTCGGCTAGCCGGCGGTACGTTGGGTTATGCTGGGGCCTTCAGCTGGTCTCTGTCTGGTTAGTACGTTGGGTCATGCTGGGTCCTTCAGCTGGTCTCTGTCTGGTTAGTACGTTGGGTCATGCTGGGTCCTTCAGCTGGTCTCTATCTGGTTAGTACGTTGGGTCATGCTGGGTCCTTCAGCTGGTCTCTGTCTGGTTAGTACGTTGGGTCATGCTGTGTCCTTCAGCTGGTCTCTATCTGGTTAGTACGTTGGGTTATGCTGGGTCCTTCAGCTGGTCTCTGTCTGGTTAGTACGTTGGGTCATGCTGTGTCCTT